CACACACACACACACACACACACACACACACACACACACACACACACAAGCATACACACACAGACACAGACTTGCAACAATTCAATACCCTTACTATGGTTCAGGTCCCCTCATTGCCTGCCCATAGCGAGGTAACATTGGCTGCCCTTCTGTGCCCCTTTTCCCTCTCCGCACACACATAATACTCTCTCTCTCTCTCTCTCTCTCTCTCTCTCTCTCTCTCTCTCTCTCTCTCTCTCTCTCTCTCTTGCACACGCACACACACGCACACACACACACACACACACACACACACACACACACACACACACACACACAAACACACACAAACACACACACACACGCACACACACACACTTGCAACAGCTGAATACCCTTACTATGAATCAGCCCCCCTCATGGCCTGCCCATAGAGAGGGAGCATGGCCTGCGGAACCCCAAGAAACTTGCTCAATGCTGCACTGTGATGACCCACCTGAAGTTCGGCTAGCATGTGATTGACATGCTTTGTGACGCGTGCATGATGATGGTATGTATAGCCCATGCAAGTCTTTGTTTTCATACGTGTACGACACCAGTCAAAATTGTGCTCATGTATCACACCCTACCATCATGATGGTATGTCCTACTTGTAGTTAGTTGCTGCAAAGGCAAATGCCTTTACAATGGCGGTCCGCGTGCCTCCGTGTTCCTAACATGTGACAGCCATGTTGCCTGTGAGATCTGTCTAGGTCGCGCCAATCGATGCAGCAATTGCAACTACGAGAACTGGATGCTGTGTTTCCACAGTCCCCACCCCAACCGGTTCTGTCCGGTCTAGAATGACCTCTTCTTCCAGTTTATACTTCCTTTTTCTTTTTAAAAAAAAAATAAAACAGCGCTGTGCCATTCTATACTAGTCTGTTCTGCCGGTGAATTCTGCGAACCCTGTGAGATTCTGATGGATAGTAATAAATATTGAATACTAACCCTACGACGAACCGCAGTCAACGTGGCAAGCCTTGTATGTGAGGGGGGGAGTAAAAAGGGAGCTGCAAGACTCGGAAGAAATGAAAGAGAAACCATGCGCCTAGCTCAGTTGGTACACGCTTGAACCGTTGAAATACAGACTCAAATTCGAATCCAGATACTGTCAAATGAACAAACAGAATATTATCATTCTGAATTACTTGGGGGCGGTCATTTCAGTGACGATAAAAAAAAAAAAAAAAAAAAGAGAAGAGAAACCATAAAAAATCTCAGCCTAAGGCCAGCAAAGACAGCACATCATCATCATCATCATCATCATCATCATATGAGGGACGCTGAGCCCAGTTCTCAGCATGTTCGGTTCGGTCACTCCGGGTAGACTGTGGGGACCACCCCGGCCTCAATCTTCTTATTGGTAACATCAGCCTTGGGCACTGGGCCCGTTTTACTGAAAAAAAAAAAAAAAAAAAGGTCACTACACAAGGAAAAGGCAACACAGTGAATACACCTTTTTAAACTTTAAAAGTGTGCTTCATGTTAATTTCTGCTATAATAGTGCGCGCTGTTTCAACTTGGATTGACTCATCTGGGTGGAAAAGCCTTTGTTTTCTGCAGACAATTTAGTTTTTAAGAGACAATTTAGTTTTTGAGAGACAATTAAGTTTTTAAGAGAACAATTTAGTTTTTAAGAGACAATAATTTAGTTTTTTTCACAGCACACATTCCAGTCCCAGTCATGCTAGCTCTGTGCTCCGGTGGATTGAGCGGCTAGAATATAAGGCTACTTTCCAGGCTAGTAGTGAATCTAGTGATCACATCTTACCTGAGTTCTAAGCCCAGTGGAATCTACAATAGCACCTGTGGAATCTACGGTAGTGGGTCAATCGCATGTTAAGTCTGGTAGTGAATCTGGATACGCTTTTAATGCAACCTACTTGTAAGGCTGGTTTGTGATGACGCCATAGTTTTTTGCTTCATCCATGGCAACCTACTTGGCCCTCAGCTGCTGATAAATACAATGGGAACTCCTCTTACTACCGCGGCCCGGGGTTGAACATAGACTTCTTCTACTATGTCAATGCAGAAATGTACCTTTGCCGCTTTGCGCCCTCAATTGTGACTCTGTCTACAGTTCTTGGCCTGCCTAGAACTGTCGACAGACTGATCTGGGGCGCTAGGATCTAGTCTGATCTGGTCTGATCTGGTCTGGTCTGGTCTGGTCTGATCTAGTCTGATCTGGTCTGATCTGGTCTGATCAAGTCTGATCTGTTCTCATATAGGGGTCTGACTTCACTATACTCCACTCTGCAATGACTTGGAGAGTGCTTGGGGAGATGCCAGATTCTCCAAAGATGTGAGAGTAGATTCTCCAAAAATGTGAGAGTCCCATCATCAATCCACTTACTGTCCTGGATGTAATGTCGAACTACTGTCCAATGTTTTGTGCCAGTGCTACAACTTCAAGACACAGTGACAGCACTAGAAGACACGGTTTCATCAGCGTTTCGTCCGCCCAGACAAAAAGCCGAGCTCTCCAAAAACGACCGGTGACCGGGCTCTCGGCTGAGGACTCTGCAAGTAACGTCTTTGCACGCAGGGAACTCTCCCAAACGTGGAGACTGATTTTGAAGAGCCGAATCTGACGACTCTCCAAAGGATCAACCCATTTACGAGAGTAAGTGGAGCGACGTCGGCCTCTCCAAACGAGGAGATAATAATATCATAATATCAGACAAGATCAAGAGAGTGGATAGCAGCAGAGCGAGACCCATAGCCTGATCTTGTCTGAAGTTATTTCCTCCAGCATGATCTCATCGTGCCTCGCTTGATATCGTCTGGTCTAGATCTGGTCTACATCTGGTCTGATCTGGTCTGATCTGGTCTGATCTCATACCATCAGAATGATATCGTCGTATCTCGTTTGATATCGTCTGCTCTAGATCTCGTCTGATCTGGTCTGATCTCATATGATCAGGATGCTATCGTCTTATCTCTTTTCATATCGTCTGGTCTGCATCTGGTCTACATCTGGTCTCCATCTGGTCTCATCTGGTCTCATCTGATCTCATCTGGTCTCATCTGATCTCATCTGGTCTCATCTGGTCTCATCTGGTCTCATCTGGTCGGATCTCATACGATCAGATGTGATCATCCCTATCTTGCCTAATTTGGTGCTTTCCTAGCCTCCCTTATGACCACCATTTCCATTCATTTCTTTCCTTGTGTGATAATCCCTATCTTGCCTTCTTCTTCTTTAAAAATAAATAAATAAATAAAATATTAATAATTTGGACCATTTCTCGATTTATGTGTGTCATCCTTGCGCAGGGGCCATGCTAATCTTTCTTCTCTTTTAAAAAAAATTAAAAAAAAAAAATCTTTCTTCTCTGTATCGTTCCAATTTTAATGGATGTCCCGAAGGACATCCCTCCCTCCCTATCTTGCCTGATTTGATGTAATATTTGGACACAAACTCAAAACGGTCGGAACCAAAAAAAAGAGGCTATGTTCTAATACACGCCTCAGTAGATCACCCCCCATTGAAAAACAGATTCAATGGTTTTTTTCGTCCTTGTCCCAAACCTGGGAACATCCTGCCTAGTTATGCTAAACCCGAAACAGCCCAACAAAAGATGACCGCTTCGTATTCACGAATATCCCTGAAATATGCGCAACAGACGCAAGATTTTCAAAGAAAAACAAAAAAAGGAAAAAGACCGGCGAACAACATAGTGCATGAACCTAGATGGACATACAATCTCAAAACATTTCCATGCACAAAAAAAGAAAAGAAAACAATACACAGTCTATTAGTCTATTACACAGCCCCCCTAAAACACACACACAGCCAAAAACAAAAGAATAATCATGCCAAGTACCAATGGAGTTTAATATCTGTGAATGGTAGCATGTTTGACTCACACACACACACACACACACACACACACACACACACACACAC